ACACCGCCTGCGATCAGAGCTCTGCAGAGATTTCGGTGGGAGTCGTATTGATCTGCTTGCTCTTTGGTAGCCAGTGAGGAGTGTCACAATAATGCAGTCAGGGGTCACATCTTTAGGGATAACCTGTGGAGCAGTTGCTTTGAATCTTTAAAATAGACCAGTGATTCTCGATCTTTGAGTGCATCGGAGCCTCCTGAGGGCTTTGTTAAAGCTCAAGATTGCTGGGCCCAACCTTCAGAGTTTCCGATTCAGTGGGTCTGTGGTGGGGTCCAAGAGTGCGCATTTCTGCAAGTGCCCAGGTGGTACGGATGCTGCCAGTGCAAGGACCACACTCTGAGCGCCGCTGGATCAGACACCTGCTGTATGATGGATGTTTATTTCAACCTTGGGAAATTTCCATGAACTAGTAGCATGCGCATAAAGACTGGGAGTCATAAAGCTGTTTTTAACATTGACCAAGAGTTTTGATGTGAACTTGAAAATGAAATGTGTGATTTATAAGATACAGTGTTTGGTAGTTCCACGTGTCCCTAGAGCTTTTTAAAGTGTCACTTTTTGTTTTTTTCTTTAAGAGAGGAGGAGAGAGAGTGGTGGATGAGGGGCAGAGGGAGAGGGAAAGAGAGAAACCTAAGCAGGCTCCATGCCCAGCCTCTCACAACTCTGAGATCATGACCAGAGCCACATCAAGAGTTGGATGCTTAACCAACTGAGCCACGAGGCATCCCTGAAATGTCATTTAAGAGTAATTAAACATTTTAAGATTGGAAAATATTAAGGCATCTTTTCTTAAAGAGCTCAAATGATTTTTATTATTTGAATACTGGTATAAAATGAAGCTTTTCCAACATGTATCTTAATTTATTCTATAATCTGAAAAAAGAAATAAAATATGGGTGGGTGGGAAAGTGATGGCATCACTAGCTAATGACAGTCTGCTATAGCAAAGCAAATCCTTGCTCTGACCTGACATAGCATGTCATTTGAGGTTCCCTGTGTAGTTTGTTCAGTCTATCCTCTTGTTGCCTTGAGAATTACTACCAGCATCATTTTGTTGCTGGATAGAGCTGAGACCTGCTAAAAGATCCTGACTGAGTTGTGATGCAGAAATTCATGAACCCGTGTCCGTAGAATGCTAGTGTTCTTGGGGTTCTATTTAACTCTTTGCCCACTAAAGTACTTTGTTTTCTGTATTGAGACCCTTGCTTTTGAAGGGCAGGTCATAAGGGGTATCCAGGTTTCTCACTGCGGGGACACAGATGAACATCTAAAATGCCTTCCTAAATGTCTGAGACTGTGTATGGATGTCCCATCACTGCTTGTGACTGAGTGGTTAAGACTATGTCATTCATGATATATCAGATAAAGGGCTTAGAATCTAAAACCTATAAAGAACTTATCAAACTCAACACCCAAAAAAACCAAAAAATCTTGTCAGGAAATGGGCAGAAGACATGAACAGACATTTCTCCAAAGAAGACATACAAATGGCCAACAGACACATGAAAAAACGCTCAGCATCGCTTGGCATTGGGGAAATACAAATCAAAACTGCAACGAGATAATACCTCTCACCAGTCAGAATGGCTAAAATGAACAACTCAGGAAACTAACAGATGCAGAGAAAGGGGACTCTGCTACACTGTTGGTGGGAATGCAAACGGAGGCAGCCACTCTGGAAAAGAGTATGGAAGTTCCTCAGAAAGTTAAAAATAAAACTTTCCTATGTCCCAGTCACTGCACTACTAGGTATTTATTCTTGTATCCCAGAGGATACAAACATAGTGACTCAAAGGGTCATGTGCACCCCAATGTTTATAGAGCAATGTCCATAATAGCCAAACTGTAGAAAGAGCCCAGATGTCCATTAACAGATAAATAAAGAAAATGTGGTGTATATATACACATATACACACACATGTATGTACGTACATACATACATACAATGGACTGGTATGCAGCCATCAAAAAGAGTGAAATCTTGCCATTTGCAATGATATGGATGGAACTAGAGGGTATTATGCTAAGCAAAATAAGTCAGGAAGACAAATACCATATGATTTCACCATGTGGAATTTAAGAAATGAAACAGATGAACATTGGGGAAAGGAAGGAAAAATAAGATAAAAATAGAGAGGGAGACTAACCATATGAGACTCTTAACGCTAGGAGACAAACCGAGGATTGCTGGAGGGGAGGTGGGTGAGGAGGCTGGGGTGACTAGGTGATGGGCTTTAAGGAGGGCATGTGATGTAATGGGCACTGGGTGTTATCCCCAACTGATGAATCACTAAATTCTACCCCTGAAACTAATGATAAGCTATATGTTAACTAAATCGAATTTAAGTAAAAAATTTTAAAAAGTATATGTCATTCTTCTCCGATTTAAATATCCATACAATTTGTCATTTTTGCAAAACTTAAATTGCTAATTTAATCAGGAAAACAATGAAGACACAACATTAAACACTTGAATTAGCTACTGAAAACCAACTGTTATGGCATGAGTTTGGTGTTTAAAATAAGAAAAAGTAGGGGAGTTCAGGAGGAGCGAATAGGCATGGGTCTTCTCTCAATGCAGTGTAGGATAACAAAATTGGAATTTCTCATCTCCATCTGGGAAGAGGAGAGAAGAAAGGGAAGAATTATAATAAAAATTGGCTTGACAGAACATTGGCAGGAGCTTAAGGGGATGGATTTGGTGTTCTTTGAGAGAAGAGACGTTAGCACTGACTTTAAAATGAGGTTGTAAAACAGAACTTGTACCTTTTTTATATTTTCTTCTTCTCCTTCCACATTTAGCCAGTGGACATCTGAGCATCTGCTCTGGGCCATGTGTTGACTCTGGGGAGTTTCTCTCCACTGGCTTCTCCCTGCTTATCTATGCTCAACCCTTCTCTGTGGTTTAAAAATGAGATAACATCTTATTAGGAGCTTCTCTGTCTTCCTCACATTTATTTTGATGCCTGGCTACTCGGAAAACCATTACGCCTTGATCCCTTCTGCAAATACTAACCGCTGCATGACCTACGCTGCTAGATACGGGGATGCGCAGGTGAACCGGAGGCGTGCTGGCTGCTTGCTGGACCAGCACTCTGGTGAAGAGAAGGCTCTTTCCGTGCTCATGTGGTCTGTCTGTCTCATTGTTTACTTGTTCCTCGATCTCTTGGAAGCTCCTGCTCCTTCCACTGTGCAAAAACCACAAGGCTCTGAAGACTTACCTAGTCCTCCGTTGGTCTTTTCCAGAACTGATTTGCTTGATGTCTTAGCTGCAGTTGACAAGGCATCCTGGCCCCTCCAGGATCCCCATCAACTTTGGTCTGTGTGACGTTGTGTTCTTTCCTCCGTTCTCCCAGTTCTATCCCCGGATCCCTTCTCTTCTCCCAGAACACACTGTTTTTTAACAACTCCCTCCTCCTCTCCCCAGAGGCAGCCAGCACCTCCCACCTCCGGGGTGCCTGGATCCCTGGATCCCTGCTGTCCGCCTCCTCTCTGCCAGGAGCGCACTTTCTCGCCCTCCCCGGTAGCCTGCATGTGCCTCCAGCATGTGCCTCCAGCGTCTCCTCTATTCAGCAGAACCCACCACCTCCCTCTCCCCTGCCACACCAGGCTTCTCCCTCTCCCCAGACTGCCCCTCCAGGTCTGCCGAGTTGTCTCCCCACGCATGGCATAGGTCCCTCACTTCTGTTTGCAGACTTCAGGGTTCTCTTTCCTTTGCTTGTCCTAAGACTGCCATCAGGTAAATCACTCTGCAACACAGACCGGACCATGGGCTCCTGGCTTGGAAATCATCTGAGGTCTTGCCGTACCCTGCAGGGTCTGAAGAGGCTTCCCCACCCCTTGCTCCAGCTCCACTTTTTCCCATTCCCTGCACCCAGTTCTTCAACCCCATCGCCCTGTCCAGCACTCCCAAGCCCTCCCCCTTTCCTGCTCCCAGTCTTCTGTCCTTGTTTACACCTCTTTCTGCTCCTCCATTAGAGGGCAGCTGGGGTAGTTTTTTTCCCAAGATCTCTGTAATCTTTTCTAGGCTGCAGGTCATCTTCCCAGTCTTTGGGTTTCCATAAAAGTTTCCGGGTCTTCCTGTGTGATCATTCTTGCTGTTATTTGTAATCCCATCACATGTTTCACCCCGACTGCAGACTCCCTGGGGAGGGGCATCCTGACACCTTGCGGCCATTTCAGGCACGTGGACCCACTCTTTGAACATTGTTTAATGGATGTCCTTTGGAGAGATGTCTTAGAAGTCTGCTTGTTGATTGCCATCGACACAATTTAATATCTAGACCCAGGGTTGAGAACCTGTAGCCTTTAGGTTGCTTCGGCCCAATGTCTGCGCTTGTGAATAAAGTTTTATTGCAACACAGCCACTCAGCATCCTGGACATTCTGCCGCTGAATGGCTCACAAAGCCTGAAATAGTTAGGAACTGACCTTTTACAGAAGAAGTTTGTCTACCCCAGTATATACTATTGTCCAGACTCCTGAGGGATACAGTATCAGCTGTGGAAGGAAGTGAAGGAAACAATGTTTGCTTCAACTCTTAGCCTTTCACTTTGGCTCTTTGATATATCAGTGTGCCTACCATAGTTAGGGCAGTGGGATTTTGCTATTTATTTAGAGTGAAGTACAATTAACTTTGTTGTAGAAATGATACAGACAGCCAAGTTAACTAGAGTTGATCTCTAATTTCTTGATGTTAGAATAGGATTCTCTGGGGAGATGTTAAATCTGGTCAAGCTTTACGTTAGTAAAATGTTTTTGGTATTCTCAACAAAAACTGACCAGCAAGGGTTGCCCGGCTGTGTTACTCATTCCGCCAGTCTTAGACACTTATCCTGTATTTCAGCCCTAGGAGGAAGCAGCGTGTTCCAGACCCTTCCCCTACCCCTTTGGAGATGAGGAAGGCCATAGATCACCAGGGTTTCGAGTTAAAGTTTTGTGGACCACCCCCCTACCCCCGCTCCCACATTTAATACCTTATGGTCTTTTTGTCTTTCTTTCTAGAGGGACGCATGGTCATCCAGGATATTCCTGCTGTCACCAGCAGAGGGCACGTGGAGAACACACCTGACCTGGTGTCTGACTCCACCTACTACAGCAGCTTCTACCAGCCGTCTCTGTTCCCTTACTACAACAATCTGTACAACTACCCGCAGTACTCCATGGCCTTGGCTGCGGATTCCTCTTCTGGGGACGTGGGAAGCCCCCTTGGCGGGTCCCCCGTGAAGAACAGCCTTCGGAGTCTCCCAGCACCTTATGTGCCTGGGCAGACAGGAAACCAGTGGCAGGTAAGACATTACCCAGAGCAACTGGATGTGTCGAGAGCACACACAGACGTACCCATGACCAGCTCACACATGTGTGTACACGTTATGCCAATGCTGTGGAAAGGGGTTCACTCTCCCATGACGTCATGTGACCCCAGAGGTTGGCTGCAGGGATTGTAAGGGAGTATGCTTGTATACATTTGCGTTTGAAATTTTACTTTTCTCATTTTAAACTATCATTTTACATAAAGACCCCGTTGGGTAGAGTCAGATTCACAAGGGGTTCACTGTGAGGTCTCTCCCCCTCCAGGCTCATCCCCACTTTCTTTGAGCAGCTTAGAACATGGTGGGTGCAGCCTTCTGGCTGGCAGTAACATTAGTGATGAATTAGCACCTCGGGAGGGAGAAGTTTTATCATCTGTATGTTTCTGTGGAAGCAAGGTAAGAAAACGAATTAGGTCATTGTCATTCTGGGCCAAATTGTTGGGTTTTTGTTTTGCTTTTTTTTTTTTTTTTAAAGCTGGAAATGAAGATCATCAGTCATACTCAGTGTACAACCAATAACTTTTATTTTTTTTAAAGATTTTATTTATTTAATTGACACAGAGAGACAGCTAGAGAGCAAACACAAGCAGGGGGAGTGGGAGAGGGAGAAGGAGGCTTCCTGCTGAGCAGGGAGCCCAATGAGGGACTTGATCCCAGGACCCTGGGATCATTACCTGAGCCAAAGGCAGACGCTTAACAACTGAGCCACCCAGGTGCCCCTAACCAAGAACTTTTAAATTAACATCTCAGATAAAGCGTTTTGCATTGTCAGGAAAGGAGTGTTGTACCAGAAGCTGTCATGCTCCTTCAGCTTTAACCATTTCAATCCTGGAGTATGTGTGAGGCAGGTGGAGGCAGGGAAAGCATTCCCAGGCTGGGTCCCCATGCTGCAGGAGTGTGGACACACAGTGCTGACACTCACCCCTGCCATGGCCCCTCTGACCTCGGTGTTATGATTGTGGGAGAACGTATTTTGGGTATGTTTACCATGTTCAGGCTTTGTCAGTGGGGCTTCCAGCACAATGGACAGACATATTTGGGAGTTTAGGGCAAATCTTTGACCTTCTTATGTGCACCTTAAAAAAATGTGAGTTGAACTTTTCCTTTGAGCAATTCTATTCTATTTTGCATTTCTTAGGTGTGGGGAAGTTCTTAATATTCACACTTCCCCACTTTGTGGATTCTCTCATTACACTTTGGGATCAGACTTCTTCAGCCCATCAGTATGTCTGTTGTAATCTGCTGGGCTACACATTTTCATGTTTTCCACACATTTTATTTTTTAGAATCATACTTTTTAAGAAGAGACCTTAAAGCCTGTGGGTGTGTGAACTCAGAGTAATACGAGATAGAGGAAGTGCAGTGATTTATGGATCAGTCAGCCTGGACCCCTGCAAGTCTGTCCACATGCCGGCTGGACTTTATTATTAGGGGCAGGTTTTAGGTTGATTTCTATCAGAGACTCACTTCTCTGGAAGGAGAAAGAAGTATCTTGTAATTCTGAAAAAAAAAAAAAAAACAAAAAAAAAAAACAGTGCAGCCTGTAGATTCCCGGGAAGCAGGGACTACTACTGAAGTGTTCTGGTTTCCTGGCTACTTCCAGGCTTTAAGGATAAAGTAGGAAGGTGAACCTGTTGCTTATAAGAAAACAGGTGAGCAAAAAACATCTTAAGTGTGTTCCGAGAGAAAGCTGGCGAGCTCATGATCAGCTTTAGAGCGAAGTCCAACATCTACTTGATCAGATTCATTCAGCAGGTGTTAAGATGGTAGCTGGCGTATGACGCTCGACACCCTAATGCTTCTTCTTACTCCACCTGGAACACCTGGGAAGGGGGTGGCAGAGGTCTTGGATTTCCTTGGAGGACTCTTGCCAAGTTCCTCCCTCCCAGGGACAGCCAAGAGGAGACGGGCTCTGTCAGCCATCTTCCTTGCCTGGTCTTGGAGAGACATCTCAGGTGCTATGTGCAAGGAGAGAGTACCCCGAGGGCATGTTCCTGCACCCTGGCTAGCAAAGCGGGAAGGAAGAACCGTGCCCAAACTTTCTTCGTCCTGTGGTGCCAGCCAGCTTTGAGGCTGCTCATGCTTTCCCTTGCACCGCCACCTATAGAGAGAGGTGTCCCTGGTTAGCTGCCCAGGAGAGATGCCAAGACATCGTGTAACGTGGGAGTTTATTTTCCCAGGAGGCTGGGCTTAAGACTTTTTCTTTCCTAGCCAGTCGCCTGGTAATCTGGTAATCTGTTCTCATAAAACAAATTATTTTGCAGAACCAGATCCTTTTCTGCTGCTGTAGTTGATTCCCATTCCTCTTAGTAAGTAATAGCACCAATGATGACAGCCAGCGTTTGCAGGCCAGTGAGTCCTCCTCATGGCCTCAGGAAGCAGATCATGTTGTCTCCTCTTTAGAGAGAAGGACATTGAGACTCAGGGCTGACTTTGGGCCATGGCCTGTGCCCTCCTGGTGGAAGCTTCCCAGGGGAGGGCAGCATGTGGGTGCTCCCATGCCTGTCATCATGTTCTTCATCTCCTTTGTGGCAGGTGTCCCACATGTGCATCTGGAGAGCCCCACGCTAGCCTCTCCTGTCTGTGTCTTCTCTTGGTCAGACCCTGGCTCCACCTCAAGGGCCCAGACCTCTGGCGGCATCTCCTCTACCTTCTTGACTTGCTGCTAGGAGCTGACTTCCTTCCTCACTCCTCGCCAGAGCGAGCCACTGTTCTGTTTGTTATCCTCCTCCCCTTGTTGCTCGGTGGATCAGTGTGTCTTGAGGGAGCAGCACACGTTTCTCAACAAAGAGCTGACTTTTTGACTCCTAGAAAGAACTGACAGAAGTGAAGATCAGCATCATTTTTTAAAGCTAGTCTTCTAAGAGATCAGTAGGGAGGGCATTGAGTTACTTGCAGAAAGAAATCATTGACTTTTTATTGTAAAGCTGAGGCTTCCGGTAGGTGTCCCTATAAAATCAAGCAAGCCACAAATATTTATTGAGCACCTACTAAGTGCAAAATCTACTAAAAGAAATAGAGCAGCATAGTAGGTCAGCATCCCAGCATCTCAAGCTTCTTCCGTTTTCATGCCCTGCATGCTGAGAGCTGCTGTAATCACCTCAGAGTCTGCCTCCAGCCTCTGGAGATTTGTGGCCCAATCACAGATTCCTGTCCTACTGTGAAACAGGAATAACATTTGTGACACTGGAACCGACTCACGATGAATGGCTAGTTCCGCTGACCAGCAGCTCAATTTCACTTCTGCATTTAATTGCCTGCAAAAGCTGTTTATTGCCTTGTGCACTCCTCCACAGCAACATTATCTCTTAAATAAACATGTTGTACCAGGTTGACAAGGGAGAGGTACATATCAAGTGAGCAGAAATAAATACGGGAGGACTCAGAGCTGTACCTGGGGTCTCCTTTCTGTCCCTCTGGCAGGCGGCCTCTGGATTGCTTTGCAGAAGCTGGGGCCGCCAATGTGTAGACTCCCAGGCAGACTCCCATTTGGACCACAGTTCTGGTGTGGTCACAGTGGCAACGCGGGTGATTTCGTTCATTCAGGTGGTTATTTTGGGCCCAGTCTGAAGTGTCTTATGCTGTGTATGCTGTGTATGCTGATGCCTCTCACTGGGTGTGTTTGCTTATTAGATAAGCAGGCACGGAGAGCCTGCTGTGTGGTAGGCATCTGCCACTGAATCAGACAAACATGCGAAAGGCAGGTCTTGGGGTGGAATCCTGCCGTTGTCACCTGGACAAAGAGACAGGAACTTGAGGGTCATCTAAGTAGCCCTGTGTTTAAAACTGAGCTACAAGCGGGAAGGAAAGCTGATTCCGGCATCTAGAGCTTGGAGCTCGGAGAAGGTGCCCCCTTGTGAGCATTCCTGGGATGGCCCTCTAGCACCTTCCATGGGTGGGGGAGGGGGTGCAGCAGGGCCTTGCAGAAGCCCCTGCGCTTTGATGGTCGAGGTCCTACAACAAGCAGCCTGATGGGGCCCTTTTCACACTGCCTCCTCCTTTCATTCGAGTTGCTCAGCATCAGAACAATGTGTTAGCTAAAAGATTAAGAGGAAGTGACTTCTAGAGCTTGTGCTATGTGGGGGCAGCCGGTGGCCCCTCCCCATCTCCTAGAAGTCCCATAGGAGGGCCCAGTGGGGGTGCGGGTGGCTTAAATCTGGCTCTTGTTCCCAGGGAGACAGTTCTCATTAACAGTCAGTGTTTTAAAATACTCTTAAACCTAAAAAACAGTATGTCAGAGAAAAAGAAGTAGAATGCAAAATCTATGTCAGCTTTTAAGGTTTAACAGACTTGAGATCCATTCTTTGTTTGCCTCAGGCCACCAAGCTCTACCATCAGGGACCCCAGGGTGACGCACATCTGGTCACCTCAGATTCCAGGTTAGGTCTGAGCTGAGGAGGCCGAAGGGATCAGTGGAATGCGGCTGGGTATAGGGGAGCCAAGATCCAGCACTGGGCCCGCTACCCTTGGTCAGGGGCTCTCTCCCCAAACGGTCTTGTGATTGCCGGGCTGCCTTCTCCAAACTGTCCCATGCCAGCTGGTAAAACTAGCCGACGCTCCTCCTCTTAGAGCAAGCTGGGTATTGGCCACTGTCTGTTGGCGGGTGGACGCTGACTGCCTGTTTTCTCAAGAAAGAAAAACTGGCAAAGTTTGCCAGCGCACACACACAAGGAGAGTTTATGAGAGCAGATACCATTTAAAATATTTCAAGCAGTTTCTTTCCTTAGGAAAAGATAATTACAATAGATTCAGTATTTGCCTGAGGCTGTTAGTGCTAACAACCTTAATTTGGTTTCTTAAAGGGGAATTAGAGAGATATAAGTTTATGTTGATTAAAAGTGTGATGGGTTCTGCTGAGATGGGGTATATTTATTTCGTATCTTACCACTTCTGTGAAATCTGTAGTTTTGGTCATTTTGTAGTTGCTTCTTTTGGGGTATCCAGGATAGACTCAGAAAAATGTTAGTACTGCCGTT